GGTATATTGCCAGAGGTCCACTCCTCTTCACAAAAAGAGTATGATCGGACTGTGTCTGCACATAACCAAAGTTAACAAGTGCTGTTCTAAATCTCTCAAACCATGCTCTAGGGGACTGTTTTAGTCCATAAAGAGGTTTTTTCAGCCTGCATACATTCCATTTTATATCAGTTCCATACATCCCTAGAGGAAGAGACATGTAAACCTCCTCATGTAACTCACCATTCAGAAATGCATTCTTCACATCCAATTGATAAAGGGGCCAGTCAAAGTGAGCAGCTAAAGATAGAAGAACCCTCACAAATGTCATCTTGGCAACATGTGCAAAAGTCTCTAAATAATAAATCCCATATGTCTATGTATAGCCTTTTGCAACCAGCCTGGCCTTGTACCTTTCAATGGTGCCATCAGCTCTATATTTGATAGTAAAGACCCACTTGCAACCAACATGATCCTTCCCTTCAGGCAAATCCACCACTTCCCATGTGTCATTCTTGTGTAGGGCATCGATTTCAGATCTCATAGCATCCTTCCATTCTAGAATCTTAAGAGCTTCAGACACAGACCTGGGAATAGGATGAGAAGCAATAGAAGAGAGATAGGCAAAGTATGAAGGTGAAAGCAAACTGTAAGAAAGGTGCTTGGAAATGYAGTGTGCAGTGCACTTCCGTTTTCCTTTTCTAACAGCAATAGGAATATCAAGGTCAAGAAAAGATGAATCCAAAGGTGCTGAAACAGTATCTGTTGTCTCTTCTGTGACTAGAAGTGTATGAGGCTCATGTGTTGTAGGAGAAACAACCTGCACATTTCTGAATCTTTGCCTGTGATACACCTTGGGATTGAGGATAGGACGAGGAGGTAGAGAACTGGGACAAAGAGAATGGAGCGACCGATCCACCCTTGATTCATTTGAAGGAGAGGCAGACACATCAAGAGACTCAACAGGGACAGGAAGAGGAAGAGCAAACACCTGTGTCAAATTCTCCCCTTGTGGACAATGTCCTTTTGGAGAGGAACCATAAAAGGGGGAAAGCTCATCAAATGTGACATCCATTGAGACATACCGATTGTCAAACTTTGGATCAAAACAACAATAACCCTTYTGTGTGGGGGAATAACCAAGGAAGATACACTTTTGAGCTTTGGGTTCAAATTTATGCCTTTGGACACTTTGAACATGTACATAACAAGTGCAGCCAAAGACACAAATAGGAACAGGAAAAAGATCCTTGTCCGGATGAAGAAGAGTGAATGGAGACTTAAACCCCAAAACCCTGGATGGCATGCGGTTTATAAGGTAGGTAGCAGTAAGTACAGCATCACCCCAAAACCTGGTAGGAACATGTGAGGCAAATAAGATACTTCTTGCAACCTCAACAATATGCCTACTTTTCTTCTCAGCAACCCCATTCTGTTCTGGGGTCCTAGCACATGAGCTTTGATGAATAACCCCCATGTCAGAAAGATAGCAGGATAGGTTTTTCTCAAAGTATTCTTTTGCATTGTCCGATCTGAAGATCTTCATCCTGATATCAAATTGGGTTAGAACAAATTCATGAAATTGTTTTACAAGTCTTAGAACTTCATCACGGGATTTCATTAGAAATATCCAAGTGAACCATGAAAAGTCATCAATAAATAGGATAAAATATTTGTAGCCACCTATGGAGGGTAAGTGGTAAGGTCCCCACACATCAGAATGTACAATATTAAAAGGAACAGAAGATCTTTTACTGCTCAAAGGATAATTGCTTCTATAATGCTTTGACAATTCACAAGACTCAAAATGTAGACTGGATAGACTAATTCCCTTAAACAGTTCAGGGAATAGATGACTCAAGGCAGAAAAAGACAGATGACCAAAACGATAATAATACAACATAATCCGACTAACAGACTCTGAAGAGGCAGATCCAAGAGCAACATTCCCAAGATGATCAGTGCATTGTCTCAGAGTATCAAGCAGGTATATTCCATTCGCCTCATGGCCACTCCCAATCACCTTCTGAGACTCCAGATCCTGAAAAACACAGTAGGAAGGAAAAAAAATAACACAACAGTTTAGTGACTTGGTTAAACTACTCACAGACAACATATTTGTATTTAGTTTAGGTACATGAAGGGCAGAAGGTAGGTACAAGGAATTCGTAGCCTTGATGGTTCCCTTACCAGAGATAGGGGCAAGTGAACCATCAGCTAAAGTGATTTTATCACGTC